GAGTACCTTCAGCTCACTAAACCACAGCGTTTAGGATCAGTGGAATCACCTGACCTAAACCCAACTATACATGGTTTTCACTTTTCGCAGAAAAACGCCTGAAAAAGCAGCAGTTGAGGGCATTTGCAGTTAAAGCCTGACAAAACATCATGAAAACAGAAACTAAGCATCTGGCAGTGTCCATTTGTTCCAGACTGAAGCCAAAACTTGCATGAAGATCTCTGTTTCCATTTACATTAATTTGTCCATGAAAACAGAGAAACTGTGCAAAAGTTTCTGTACTTGCTGATATATCATTTTTGTAGAAACTGAGACGTTAGTGCATCTTTATTGTTTCATTTCAAGTCCAGGAAAAACTCGTTATGTTTCTCTCCTCTTTGCTTTTCTCCAAAAACAGACAATTAGAGTTTGGAGCTACGTTTGGGACTGAGGTTGGAGTCATAGCCATGGATGATTAAAAACAAACCAAAAAGCTAGCGTGGTGTTGCCTTTTGTTTTATACATATGCTCGAAAAGCATTTCCAGAAACTAGAAAATGTTACAATTCAAATGAAGTCCTATACGTTTTCACATTACTGTCTGTTTGGTCTAAACCAGGGGTCGGCAGCATGCGGCTCTTTAGTCCTTATAGTGCGGCTCCGCGTGGTTTGGGAAAATAAATTGGAAGTATTTAGCTGAAGTGTAATTTATTTATGTTAGTTCTTTTTTACCTTGTAGTTCTAAATTGGAAGATTATTGTGATCTTGAAATATAAAAATAAAATTATATTCTATTATTTTTTCATCGATCAAAATAAGCGTCACACTCGCGGAAGCCGGTGTAGCCGCCGAAACGCCGTGCATTTATCGAGACTTTCATCCCCAGGTAGGCCAGTTATGGATCCACATTATCAGCTGTTCTTCTCCGTGAACTATGTTAAAACAAACAGCGCTCACGCCTCACAGACGACAGCTTACAGTCCTGCGTAAAGATGAAACCGGCTTCGTACAGCCCCGACCTGCAGACGCTGTGCGCAGAGGTTCAGGAGCAGAAGTCCCATTGTAAACATACCACGACAGACCTGACGATGTTTGCATGAACACGCTTTTCAGCATCTCTTTATTGACCACTTTTCACACGCGGCTGCACGCATGGGTGCAGCTTTTTTTTTTTCCAATTATTTTTGTAAAGTCAGGTCAAGGCTCCAAAAGCCCAAAGGCGATATAACAGTTTTTGTTTGCTGGATCATTTTAGTTCAGCTTTCCTTTTGTTATATTTCTTTACAAGTTCAAAATATGTTAATTACATAAATAAAATGTAATTTTCTCTGTACCACTTCATGGATTTCATAAGCAGCAAACTGTAGTTGTTCAAACAAAGCATAAAGGTAAAAAAACAATATAGTGTTATCTTTCATCCTAAAAAAAAAAAAGAGGGTCACTACACTTCTTTCATTTCTCTGACATCCATCCTCTGGCTCAGCAAATCAGACAACAACCTCATGTCAATTTCAAAAAGTATTTGCAGCTCCCAATGTTTTCCTTTGCGTGGAAACCGGGTCCAAATGGCTCTTTGGGTGTTATAGGTTGCAGACCCCTGGTCTAAACTAATCAGGTGAAAATTTCATGAAAAGGAATGGATATTAACTGAATCCTAAACTTAGATGGCTCACCTGCTTGATGTTAAGAAGTGAATAACAGGGATATTTTTAGGCAGCAGTGTCGTGTTGTGGTCGTGATGTGCTGGGTTGAATTGTTCCGAAAGGTGTTTTATATATTCTGCCCCCATTTTTTATCACAGAGTTGGAAGACAAAAATTAGAACCACCACAGAGTACCTTTACCCTCATATAACCACAACAGAGTGTAAGCTGCACCCCTTTGATGCAGAGTCAGAGAATAAACATCCCAAGGCCAGGATTATGCTTGCTTGTGGACATGCACACAGGCAGCTGGGGAAGCCACAGAGTAGCTGTTCTCTTTTGTTCCATCCTTCAGGGTGCATGTTGGTGCTTTGTAGTGTAGTGTCTCTGCAGTCACAACAGGGGGCAGGTGATGACAAAATTCATATCACCCAGTAAAGTGTACTTGTGGAAACTAACACTGATGTATGCTTCCAGCTGTAAAACTCATAGTTCTGTGGTCAGTAAGTGCATTGTGTCTGCTTTTCTTCTTTTAGGCACACAGTACCATTTGGTATGTCCAGTTACCAGGGTTCCCTGCGTTTAAGACGCTCCACTAGGACCGAGCGGGTGAGGATAGGGGTGGAGGCTCAGCGCTGCGCGTGCTCACAATACAGCGACGTGGACTGCATCAGCTTCTGCAAGATCAGGTAGAGGTGCGATACGAAATAAAACAAATGAATGTGTTGTATGCCAGTATTATTCTATTTCTTTAAAAAAAATTAAAAGGTCTTAAAATGTCTTACATTTCCCAAAATGTTGCTGTAGTATAAATAACCTACCTAACAGCACAATTTTCATCCTCTTCTGCTGTGCCATAAATAACTTCACCACAGCATCCAGATGGTTCTAGCATGCCGGAACAGAGACAGCATAAAGAGGAAGTAACACATGATATACTTGGAAGACAGCATTGAATCATCAGCTTTGTTCACATTCGGCGACAGATATTTCCATCCATCCTTTTCTGTTCTTGTCCAACTTAGCATCACAAGGGGTCTGAAGCCTACTGCAGTTGTTATAGGTGGCCAGTCTATCAGCGGATGAATGATTTAGCCTCCTGTATTTAGTGAGCATCCTGGGGATGCATCAAATTTACACCTCTAACTTTACAGCACAAGGAGCTTAGGGGACATGACGGAAGTGGAGAGCTGAAAAACCTGAACACTAGACTGGGAGTGCAAAACAGCCAAAACCTCTTACTGGGCATAAATATAAAGTAAATACACAAAGTGAAAAATTAAACTGCAACCAAACAAAACTCAAACTGAAACACAGGGTCAGAGATCCAGGATCATGACATCGTTCTTTTCCAGTGCAAAGGAGTTCAACCTTACTGTTACCTAATTAAACTTATTCAACTAACAGGTTTATAATTCAAGAGAGGGGCCTGAAAACTGAAGGCTCTGCCTCCCATTCTACTTTTAAATACTCTAGGAACAACAAGTAGGCCTGCAGTGCGAGAGCGAAGTGCTCTAATAGGGTGACATATAAACAATAATAGTGATTGTAATTATGTTAGCAGTATTACAGAAATGATCCTCTTTGAATTTGACTTTAAGATGTGTGTTGTTTTTCCACAGTCAGACGAGACCACACACAGCATTGCCAAAAACAGACGAGAGGACAGCAACTCAGCGGAGTGGCCCTGCTGTGAAATAAGTGCATTAAAAGCGGCAGGCCTATGAACTGAAAAGTGGTTACACATTCTAAGACATAGCGTGTATGTCTGCGTTTCTGTAGGTGGATATCTTGTAGTGTCTTGTCATCAGACTGAAGGATGTGTAACACCAAAGGTGCTTGCACAAATCTAAAAGCCAGCAATTCCACGTTGGACGCTAACAGAATCTCCGCCCCTCTTCTCTCCTGCCAACCTCTGCTCATCTTTCAGAACTTGCTGTCTGTGTCTGTTCAGCAGGTGTGCATGATGGTTTCCATTACTCTGACACAACTGAAGCTAGTTTACATGGCTGATTTGTGCGGACTATAAGACATTTGGTTGCTCACACACAATGTGGATGCCTCTGCTCCAGGGACATCACTGAAACTCCATGGCAACATTGGCACAACATCAAAGCCAGGAAGTCAGCATTGCTTTCTTTTTTTACAAATTCAGTTTGTCACAGTTACTGAAAGAGTCAGGATATCTTTTCTTTTTCTTTGTATCATTACATTAGGATGTTCTTTATTGTAAAGCACGTCTGAGATTTTTGGAGGTAACAGAACTGAAAACAAAAGTTAGCAGTCTGTTTTATAAGCTGAATCCATTCCACGGTCGTGTGTGTGTGAAATGTGTTCCAATATATAAAGGCTATAAGTTATTTTTCATACAAACCAAATACGATAGTAAAAGTGTTATAAGATGTTGTATATAGATATATCTGATTATTCTAGCCAGCAAGTCTCTGTATTGAAAAATTTAGAAAAGTACAAAAGTTTGTACCACAAAGTAAATTTAAGGTGGCACTTCTTTTTCGTCTGTTTTTCTTAACCTCTTAACATCCATCATACTGGCAGTAATCTTTGGGGGAGTACTGGCAAGGTTAGATTCACATCTACTCTGTTATATTTACCTCTCTGGCATAGCACATGGAAATCTAACAGAAGATCTCTAAAGCCAAAGTGCATATAAGAGAGTTGATTTCAAAGTTAAGATGTTTCACTTTCTAAAACTATGCTTTTTTACCACGTGGCTAAATGTCGACTAACTAACTCTACCACTACGTGGTTAACTGGCAGCCTGGTGGATGTTAAAAGGTAAATGACTGCACCACGGAGTAAACAGCTGACCACCTGTGCAGGACGGATGTTAAAATAACTCAAACGCAGATGAACTCGGACAAATGGAAGACTTCTTTGCTTCATGTTTGAAACATCCTGATGAACATCAGGCTTTATTTAAAGATATTTAAAATAAACTTGATACCTAATTAACATGTCTGATCAGAGGCTCCGTTACACAGGGATAATAAACTGTTGCAACTAGCTGTTGTATCTGTTCTGATAAAGTCAGCACACCATGTTTATTGTATTGCACAGCGAGGTCAGCACTATTATAAATATTATCCTGCATTTGAGTAACTGACATACAGAGCTATGCAGCATAACTTCAGAGAGCTTTAGCATTCATATTAAATCTGCTGTATTTATGTCTCTGTAATAAATAAAGATAAAATATTAAAACTGTGCATGGTTTGTACATGCCGATGATTCCTAGACAGGGTAACATTAATGTTATATAGTATGCATATAAAATAATCCCAAAGAAGTGCCAGTATTTGCCGTATATGTATTTAGGCATCAGTCAAGAGTAGTCAAAAAACCTTTGTGTTACCCGTCAATAGAACTTAGCACCGCTCATACTGTGTCGTAAAGAATTTCACTAATTCTGAAGAACATGAAGTTGGGTAAGGGGCATTGCTCCATGCCAGTGTAAGAAGCAGTCAACACTGCACATGTTTGTGAAAGATGGATCTGTATTGCAATTTTCCTGCAAAAGAGTAAAGAAGGATTTGCATCGTGTCACACTCCAGCAGACAATGTGTACTTGTTGTCCTGTTGGATGATGGCTTGGATCAGTAAGTGCTATTAAATGGGTGTGCAGTGACTTTTTCGCACACAAGAGTTTTGTCAAAAACACTTCAGACTTGGTTTTTAACCATGACCACAAAGATCTCCTATTCTTTGTTGTTTTTTTGCCCAGCCTCAATTATGGTTTACGTGGCATAAACACAGTCTTAGACGTACCGTGGAATGACAGTGATTACTGACCGCCTACAGCCTGGTTTCTGAAATAAAAGTTTTTAAAAATCAACCAAATTTTATATCTCTGTCAATATGCCACTCTTAGCAACATTTAGTAACAAAATAAGGCAGTTTGTGTTTTAACTGGAGATGCAATTAAAATCCAGGGATTGCATTACACGGTTCCAGTAATGGTCTGCACTTGTATACGGTGGTAATTCAAGGTACTTGCATGCCATCTGAACAACATGGGATCTTACCCAAGGGCATTAACCTTACAGCCCCTCGACCCCACATTAATTATATCTGGACAGTTTTCCTCATTATGGCAGAGGAATGTACCTTAAACACATAAGAGCCAGTTCTTTCGTATTGTCTGTAACTTGTGACTGCAGGATTGTTGCCAACACAACATATTCAAGAATGTTCCACATAAATTAAAGTACCCACTTCTTTGCCCACACGGGCTTGTAATGACAGAACCATTCGAGTACGAGTGATAAATAGAACAATTATGTGACTAAATTAAAAAAAAGCTTGTGGTTTGTGGTTGTTCCTGATATTGGCAGAGGACAGTCTCAAGCCAAATAACAAGTTAAGACACCTGGGAAAATGCTGGAGTCAGTCACGGAGTAAATTCATTCATGTTGGTTATTCTTCAGCGTTTTTCATTATGTTTTGATCTTTTAATAATACTTGGTATGAGCATTGCTTTGAAGATTTAATGAACATAGCTCTGAGGAATGTATTCTATTGGTACGGACAGATGTTGTGTTCTCAAATAAAACTGTGAGAATAAGACTATGAGAAGTTTTTAGTGCAAACTAAATTGTGTTTGCACAATACTGATGGCACACACTTAACAGAAACCCTCTCACATTTGGAAATGTTTACTTTTTTGATTAGATGGGGTATTCATGTTTTCCTTTTAACCCAGAAGTACATTATTGTGGCGCACCCATCCTCACTCCTCGGGTGGGAGTGGCTGGTGCCCGGTAGGGGTCGGCATCCGTTCCTGCTCCCCAGAGGAGGGCCGGTGAGCAACAGCCAGGACCACCACGGCCCACGCACCTGCCCAGCCAGAGGTGGAGGACTAGGCGTGCGCAGCTGAAGATGGACGTCGTGAGTGCTGCGTCGCCGCTGCTCGCCACTCGGGTGGCCTTCGCTGCAGGGAAGGCGGATTCACCTGCAATCCACAATCACGCCTCACCGGCGTAAAAGTCTGTGACTGTTAAATGTGGTTGTTGTTGGTGTTTGTAAGTTCGGCTGGTGGCTGAAAAGCTGCAGCTGTGCAGGAACGACAACCGTGTATAGACGCGAGTCAATAAAAGTATGCTGAAAAGCATTGAATTGTGGACCGGTCTGCCATGGAGTTACTACAATTACATTACAGTACATTACTTAATTACTCACTCAAGAAAGTTATTCTGGCTGGTGGTGCCAGTGTCCGGCAGCCTCGCCTCTGTCAGTGCGCCCCAGGGCAGCTGTGGCTACAATGTAGCTGCCATCACCAGTGTGTGACTGTGTGTGTGAATGGGTGGATGACTGGATGTAGTGTAAAGCGCTTTGGGGTCCTTAGGGACTAGTAAAGTGCTATACAAATACAGGACATTTACCATTTACCATTCCGTAAAATGGCCTGAAACACATTGTCTCATGGCTTTCAGTTAACAATATAAATCTTAGGCTGCAGCTCTGCACAACATCTAAGCCCTAATGTAATGAGAACAAACATACAGTCTTTCTTTCAGTGTTTATATATGAACACAAAGCAAAGATGAAAACCAGCAGAATGAATCTTTAAAGTGATGACTGCAGTGATTCTACTTTAGAAACATGAACAGGTAGGAATGGAGGTTACAAGCCTGACTGCTCATCACTTCTTTGGTTACCTGTTGAAGTTCACTCTCTGGCTGCTGGACAAGGGCAAGCATTTGATGGTCTGAAGACTGAAGACTTTCTGAGGGACTGTTTCAGTTCCACTGTGTTGGAAGAGCCCTGTTCCTCACGGGGATGACACTGATAGCTTAGGTCAGCACTGACCTTGCATCTGATAAAGACCCTCGTGAGCAGGGACGTGCAGG